AGCGACTCAACTGATCTTTTTCGGCCATAATTATAAGTATGTTTATGTCTTTAATGAATCTTAGTTCTATCTCTCTCTCACACACACTCTCACGCACAAGCACACAAAGCTCGTCAAAGTAAACAGACGTGGATCCGGCTTTACTCAATTGGAAAAGTGGCAATTAAACCTTCATGATGATAATTAAATCTTAACATACACATTTGACGTACGGACACATACGAGCATTCAGACGCACATGAATTTATATTGGCATGTTAGGAACTAACTTAATAACTAAATGCCTCATAAACATGCACAGGTTTAGAGTATATATACGGGATGTAGGGATAATACAAGTTTTCTAGACTAGTTAGCTTGAATTCATTTTAAGAATGAAACCCCGCGCCAGCAGTGCGCTTATCGGAATCGAAGTATATTATCTCAAGAACAGTGTCAACCAGAATATTCCTGTGAAAGGAAATGATAGCTGGCCAAAAGAAGCCATGTCATCTCTTGTTGAGGTCAATCTTCGGATCGCTTCATCACAAACCTTTACTCTAACTGTAAGTGTGAAGTTAAAGCTCAGCGCTGCAGGCCCTAACGGTGATCTACTTTTCGCTTTTAAGTAGGTTTTCGAGGCTACCCGTAAATCATATATGAGATGTGTTCATCTTATTTCGCTTGAGATGATGAAGGACTGGTAGTTGAATTTTTTACTAAGTTTTAAGTAGAACTTATGTTTACATTTAATTTTACCTTAAGCGTAATAGGATAGAAACATATCATATATATGATTTATTGGTAGTCTCTAAAACAACCTTATAAACGATTGATTTAGTTATTATAATTTTATCCCATCAGAACTTCCACCACATAATGTGATATTAGGAAATGCATGGCTGTCCTTGCTATTCACATCCGCCCTGTGACCCAAAAACACTAGAGGCAACTTAGCGTAGTGGTTAATTTGTCGATATTACACGCTGCATCGTCATGGTTCGACTCAACTGGGTGTGTTGATAAGACCTAGGCGAGGTCGAAACTGCAGTTCACTTCTGCCGAGATGAGAACACCTTTGGGATAAGCAAGGCTGTATGGAATGCAATGGAAAACACAGCTATACTCATTTACTTGTCGGAAAATTTAACTATCATTACATAAAGGAAAATAGGATGAACACATCTCATAAGTGTGAACTATTCCGTGTAAATAAATTGTGTGCTATTTATTAAATTCTTTCTTAAACTTTTTACTTGAATTTTATTGTTCTAGTAATCACGTGTATATCTAATCAAATTTTAGTTTATCTATTCTGAGATAATCAAAATATGAAGGAACATTAAACAATACTTATGAGGAACAACTCAAATAATGATTTGAAGCGGAAATGTCAATGAATCAAGATAAGAATGAAAAGGCGAGCGAGATGCGTAGCTACTTTACACTTGACGAAAATAAAAGAAATCCTGAATTTTTAAACTTGTTTACTTGAGAAGCAGCGAGATGTGAGGAAGGTGGGGATTACAATAGTTTTGAAAAAACTCGAATACTTTCTTCGAGTACGTCTTGTTTTAAAGAGAAAAATAAACCCTGTGGTCGACCTTATGTTGGGGAGACCTGTCTGCCTATCTACCAAATATTAGCGGAGCATAAGAATGACTGTAAAGACAATTTGGTCGAACGGTCATAAGGGCGAAAACTGGACATGAGATGGAATGGTTTCAGATGCAGAGTCTTGCTGATTATAGTATGACCTTAGCGCATTCGTAGCATTGTGTCGTATTAACTAACGGGTCGGGACTATACGCTGCGCTACCACAACCCAGACTGAAGTCCCGCTGTGAGAGCTGATGAAAACTGAGCAATGTGGAAAGTGCAATCCACTCTTGCTTAAATGAGAATATCTTTTTGGAAACAAGGTTATGTAGACGTCATTGGAAACCTGAGGCCTATTTATAGTATTGCGGGAAAATTCAAATAACAGTCTTTTATTACCTTAAGCAACAAAAAGCTAATGCATCGCAAACGTTAAACATGCCAGCACATGGTTTATTTCACTTCATATGAAAGTAGGGTTTCGAGACTACCAGTAAATCAGTGTAATGAGATGTTTTCACCCTATTTCGTCTAAGGTGATGAAGGACTGGTAGTAGAATTTTCCCACAATAAGATGAGTTGAGCTGACGTTTCCATTGAATTTCACATAGCCTTGCTTTCCCAAAAGTTGTTCTCATTCAG